TGCATTCCTGAAATGAGCATCAAGAGATCAAAGGTGGTTCTACTTAATTTGTTTGTGATGGTATCTGAGAAATGGGTCAGAGCTTTTGGTGGGATGGGGGAAAATGCAGCTTCCACTACACTAGCAAATGAAAATGTTTTCTAAATTGTGAAATGCTTTGAAGGGGCAAATCCCTCACTTGCTGCTAATAATAAACAGCATGTTTTATAGTTGTAATATACAGCCTCAGGGCCATTAAAGCAGCCAGCTTCGCATAATGCTTTGATCAGCTCCCATAGAATCATAAGGGCTGACATGCCACCCTGTCTTACCTTATAAGATCGATTTCTCTTCATCATACAAAAAAAAGCAGATTGCTTTTCTGGGGATAATAATTCTTTCAAAATAAATTTAAAAATAATTTGGTGACTGAATCCACAACTGTTTGTGGGAGACTGCTGTGAGCAGTTAGCCCCCACGATTTGCCCACAAAACAACCGTCACTACACTTCACGGTGTACTCTGTGAAGCGCTTTGAGATATCTCAAGTATGTGATAAGGCACTTTATCAAATGCAAGGATTATTATTATAAAGAATTGTGGAAATTCTTTCAATTCAATCTTAATCTGGAAGTCTTTTTTAAGAATGACGGAAAACTGTCCGAATTACAACCAAATTTATAAATTTTGACATCCAATTTTACTCTGGTATTTTTCCTCCACTTGTGCCACATAATCTAATCTCACATAATTTTTTTTACTGTTGAGGCTTGTAGCTCAGTGGTTAGAGCACTCGCCTCGCAAGCAAGAGACTTGGGTTCAATTCCAGGCAGGGCAAAATGTTAGGCAAGTTTCTTTACTCAACACGCCTTTGTTTACCTAGTAATAAGTATAGGAACCCGGTTGTCAGTCAATTAGCAGATTGCTTTTCTTGGGATAATAATTCCTTCAAAAAAAATAATAAATTGGTTATTTCAATCCACAACTGTTTGTGAGACACTGCTACGGCAATTGGCTGCTGTGTTTCGCCCACAAAATATACAGTCAGTTAGTTCACTTTGCAGTATATTCTGTGAAGCACTTTGAGACGTCTCTAAGATGTGATAAGGCACTATATCAAATGCAAGGATTATTATTATAATTTAATCTCAGTCTCTTGGTCGCTCCAATGTCTCCTCGATATTCCTCTTTTTCAAACACCTATCAGATTCCCTTTTAAAAGAAATTATGCACCCTGCCTAATCATAGAACTACACAGATGAGGCCATTCAGCCCAACTAGTCCATGCCGGTGTTTATATTTCACATGGGCTTCTAACCTTCATAATCTCCTCTCCCATACCCACCTTTTCCTTTCTCCTTCATATATGCATCAACCTTCCTCTTAAATATATATATATATGTATATATTTGCTTCAACTGTTCTGTGAAGCGCTTTGGAACGTCCTCCGGAAGTGAAAAGCGCTATATCAAATGCAAGGATTATTATTAACCATAGCTTCCATCAGTGAGTTCCACATTCTCACCACCCTCTGTGTAAAGAAGTTCCTTCTAAGTCTTTAGATCTGCTGCTGCCTATTAGATATTTATGCCCCTTGTTTTGAATTCACCAATAAGTGAAAGCGGTTGTTTGAGGGATTTCCCCCAATACTAACCATTGACCATGCAAGTGTTTTTTTTTCTAGCTTCCCTTGTTTATTTCAGTGTCCCAGTCCCACATAGAAATTTCTGCAATGTTCATCCCTGTTTGACTGTCAACTGAATAATAATAGGAGAAAATATTTTTTAACAATCTCCAAACTCCCCTGATGGTTTATTTGGGTAAAGGTATCGTCTAGTGGGGTTTGGAATCTAACAGATGAGAGGTTACCGGTCCAAACCCACTCTATTCCAAGTTAGCTAATCTCAGTGAACATCAGTTAGAGAGAAGAAAATCAGGCAACAACAACAATAACTTGGATTTATATAGTGCCCTCCACGCCGGACGGTGTCTCAGAGTGCTTAAATAGGCAGGGTTCCTGATCATACATTAAACCACACTGAAGGTAGTGTTAATGGAAAACAGCTAGGGTATGATCAGGCCCGGCTGTGTTTCCCCTTTGCTGACACTCATTGCCAAGATTCAGTGAAGAATGCACTCTTCCGTTACATAGCAGAGGATGATCGGTCCTAAATCTGGAACTCTCTTCCCCCAAAAGTCTGTGGTACTGGATTCATTCACATCTTCAAAACTGAGGTGGATAGCTATTTGTTATGTCAGGGTATTAAAGGATACGGGGCAAGGGCAGGTAATTTGACTTGAGGTACAGATCAGCGATAATCAGATAAGACTGGCAGAACAGACTCAAGAGGCTGAATGGCCTACTCCTGTTTCTATGTTTCTAACTGTACCATACAAAATATTTTTATGTTTCATAAAGAATACAGGCGGTTCACTTTACGGTATATTCTGTGAAGCACTTTGAGGTGTCTCGAAGATGTCATGAGGTGCTATATCAAATGCAAGGATTATTAAATGCAAGGATTATTATTATACCCAAGAAATTAGTCAAAATATTCAGGAGAGGAAGGGAGGAAACTGAACTTATTGCCCTATCTCCCCACTGGGCCATTAATGTCAAAGATTTTCATTCGTACACTGTAGTTCATTTTCTATGAAATAATATACAAATTAAATCAGTCATTGTTATTTGTCTCACGGACATGGAATGATTTCAACAAAATAGGATTGTATTCTCCTCAGCTTTAATACATCAAAGCTGTCATTGCATTAAATGGTTTCCCATTAAGGTGTTTTCAAGCCTATTGCAGACGGGTTGGTGATTGTGCTGCACTTGTGCTTCTCTTGTTGATGTATAGCATGATTGTTGTAGTGTATAAAGAACAATCGATCACAATGGGCTATGTTTGTTTCTAGGTATGGTTCTCATTTATTCCTTCTTTGCTCCTTGTCAAGGTCTAATATTGTATGGGATGTTACACATGTACTTATCTACTTGAGATGCGTCTATGGTGGGGCTGGGGGTGGAGGGAATGGGACATGTGATGTGATAATTATGATGATTGTTACATCAACCAAACACATTCTTCAAAATTGTCAATTATTATCACTGCTCTGGGGTAAATCCTGCTCTGCCCTCTCCCCAACTTTGCCATAATAGTTGGGTCTAAAGTCGCCTCAGTACTTCTGACTGGCTCTATGTTTGTCACTGATCATGGACCCAGTGTTGGTGGCTGTGGAGTGGGATGTTTCAGTGCCATTTCTCCTGATACCAATTTAAAACAAAACTGGAATGTCTTGAAGCAACTCTTACACACTGAACTATGTGACTGTCAGCAATGACTTTGGAATCACTGCAAATAAGGAGGGCAGCAGCTGTAAGAGGTTTAGGGCTCGTTTTAGGCCCAACCAATATAGCAAAATTGGTTGGTGGTGAGAGGTTTCAACCCCAAAGTCAATGATATCCTCTGACTCCTCTTGACTGTTGTTTCAGTCAATTTGACAATGTTAACCTGTGTTAATAACAACATCATTCCCTCCCCTCTCTCCATGGATATTTTTATTGTTATAGATCTGGAACAAAAATGCTGTACTTTGCTGTTTGTTTTATTATTGCCCTCTCTTTTTATTCAGACCTGGTAAAACATACTTTGAAGTTCAAATTGTTGGTATCGATGTACTTAAAATGTCATAGCATAAAAATACAATGTAAAATATTTGATAAAATAGTATGAAACTATATCCGCTTCATTATCAGAGTATTTCACTCTGATCCAAAGGTTAGATCATGTATAACGCTGTATATTAACTAGAAACAATTCTAGAAGGCAAAGAGTTTTGAGGGAAGAAGGTAACCTGGATTAAGAACATAGGAGAGAGGCAGCCCGAATTGGTGTAATGCATAGACCTGCAGTTTACAGGCCAGGAGCTGGTTTGAATTCAGGCCCCGTAACCCAAATGCTTCATGACCACCTGCTCTGCCCGCCCCACCATTGTCGGGTGGGCCTTCATCCTCTCTGCCCCCACCATCTGGAACTCCATCTCACAGTCCCTCCACTTTGCCCCCTCCCCTGCTTCCTTCAAGACCCGTCTCAAGACTCTCCTCTTCGACCCTGCCTTCGGTCACCCCCCTACCTGCCCTCCACCCCCCCTGATTCCAACCACTGGCTTGAGTGTGAATCTCTGACTGTCCAGGGTCATCCTCCTGACGTGACAGGCACTATACAAATGTAATTTGTTATTGCTCTCAGCCATAGCTGCGTGAAAAGGCCTTGTCCTTGACCCCTCCTAGGAGAGGAAAAACAGCCAGATTGTTGGTTCCTCCACAGCACCCTCAACTGGATGTGTGATTGTGGGGCAGGTGGATGAGGTGAGGTCAGGCTTGGATGCTACTAATCACTGGCAAGCATGAACAACAGTCACTTTTACCAGAGGGCAGCTGGTGTCCATTGAACTGCATCCCAGCATGAAGAAGCCAGACCGGGGACAGAGGCACAGGCAATGGGAAATGAAATAGAAAAAAAATTGAACACACTACATTTTTTTTAAAAAAAGTCATAGCAAGCAATTCAATCTTTCAAGCCTATTCTTCCACTTTGGCAGGTGGTGGCAGACTTTTTAATTCCATTTCCTGCCTCTTCCGCTTATCTCTTAACGCTCCATCCACTTATCTCCCTTTAAACATTCCAATTAATTCTGTACTGGGATGACAACTGTCAAAAAGGGACAGGCTTGTTTGCCTTTTTATGTCCAAAAGCCATTCATGTGTTATATATTACTGGACAAACTCGAAAGTCTGGTTGAAATGCATTTATGCATTTTAGTAATGTAATAGCCATCAATCATCCATAATCCCTGTAAGCTAGTCACTTTTTTATTTAATTTGAGTAGCTTGTCTTCATGAAATCCAGATATTATTATAAGACGCTGTAAATTATTCTGGACACAAACTGGTGTTAGATGCAACGTAACAGGTTTCACATAAAATGATGTTCTTGATGGGTTTCATTTATTCCGTGCAGGCACCATCATCACCTTCCTCACCTTCAGCTAATGAACCAAAATATGAGAAGCGTTGGCTGGACACCTTATCTGTCCCCTTGTCGATGGCTCGAATCTCAAGGTACAGAGCTGCAACAGATCAATTAAGGTTTGTAATCCATTGAGGATAGCTGAGAGTATTGGGATAGTCTTATATTGTTTGTGAACACATATTTAGGTATATCATGGAATTTTTCACGTACAAGAGAAATATAAAATGCCTTAGGAAAGCACGAAGCTTTCTCAATGTGCAGTTTATCCTGAATTGATCCACTTTGTTTTTGCTAATACAAAGACACACAGTGTGAAGTTACTAGAGAGACTCTGCTGCCTCCACAATCTTGTACGTGCCAATGCACAAGAGTTGTTTTTCACTGTTTTCCCCTGAATAAAGTGACTGTTTTAGTAGGAGTGTGAAATTGGGTCTAAGAACTTAGCCCCTTCTCAGCAGTGAATCCTTTAATGCCCAGAGCTCTGAATTGCCAGTCATATTCAGCACTGGTGACTAATGTTTGAATTTACCCTGTTTTTTTACAATGAAGGGAAGGCAGAGATCGAGATTTAACTGAGTTGCTTGACTTAAGAATGTTAGAGCAGAGAAATAGGTTTAACATTTATAAACCTCAATTGAGATTAGATTAAAAGATTTTTTTCTTCTCACGGAGTAGTGGATGTGTGCAACAGACTTACAACAAAGAGTCTCATGTTGTGTTCATTAATCTCTTTTAACAACACTACTAGATAAGCAGGGGCAGAGGATTACAGGTCAAAGGGATAGAATATATGGACACTGGGTAAAGATAAGTATTCAGATTTGTGTGAAAAGACCACATTCTTTCTCTGACCCTATCCTGATTCAAAGATTGAATGTTTTAACATTGGTTCATAAATACTTTTTGAACCACCTCAAGGGCAAAAATAAATTCAGTGCAACCCTACTCCCTCCCAAGAGAGTGTAAAGACCCTCATATACAACCATTGGAGCAAATCTTGTAATGGCTGTGAATTTTGCTGATGTTTATGTACTCAATGTTTGCGCTGCTAAGGCAAGCCAAAAACCCGAAAGGTATTTGATTCACTAGCTGCGTGCTTTCTTGATAATGAGGAAAAACAGGGTTTTTTAATGTGTAACCAGCGGCAGCAAACAATTAACAAATCACCATGGAGTCTACAAAATCCGCTGTAAAGCTTCTTTTTCCTAACCTGGCAATCCCAACCTGACAGATTACTGACTTAAGCAAAATTGACAATCCCTAATGTAAGCAAACATGACGTTGTTTAATGCGCAAAATTTAACTTCTTAGACAATGGTTGCTTCTCTCCACTGATAGCCTAACAGAAATAAAATAAACTCACAAAAGCACTTTAAAACCACTTTCTTTTTGGTTGTGACAATATGCATTTGACTGCCAGGATGGTTAACGATGAACTTGTATGGACCTTGATCTTTCCTTTTTTAGTATTTCCTATAGTGCTATGTGGTAAATATGCAGAAAAGCAGTGTTAGTCAGGAACTGGGTGTGAGGTAGGAAAGGGAGCTGAGGATTGAACAAAACCAACCAACTAATAAAGTTGCGCACTAGTTCAGGGCAGTGAGTTTGAGGGAAAGGTCGGGAAGATTGAGGTATGTCAGAGTTGAAAGCAATGGTGCATTGGTGGAAGTCAAGGAGGATGGGTTTCATCTTGTCTATGTCAACCTGAAGGGAGTTGAGGCTCATTCAGGTCTTGATGTCTGAAGCAGAGTCGATCAGAACATCAGTGAAGCTGGGATCAAGGGTAGAACAAAATAAATTCTTTCACACCTTTAATTAAAAAAAGGTTTTTAATAACATTCAAATGGTTATAATGGCTTTTTCGGAATAATTAGTTAAAATTATTGTTTTAATTTTACTAAACCAATTATTAACAGTAAAACATGTTATTAACAGCTGAAACCCTCAAAAAATGTTGATATTACAAGTAGCCGTGGAGTCCTGTAGCACAGTGGTTAGAGCACTCGCTTTGCAAGCGAGAGACCTGAGTTCAATTCCAGGCAGGGCGAAACCTTGGGCAAGTTTCCCTACTCCACACGCCTAATAATAATCCCTCCAAAACCCAAAACAATAATAAATTGGTCATTTTCAATCTACGACTGTTTGTGGGACATTGCTGTGCGCAATTGGCTGCCGCGTTCGCCCACAAATTTACAGTCAATTCACTTTGCAGTATGTTCTGTGAAGCGCTTTGGGACGTCCTCCCGACTGAAAGGCGCTATATCAAATGCAGGGATTATTATTATTATTCCCATTTGTTCTGAATTGTTTTAAATATTTAATAGTACCAATGTCAGGAATCGTGCTAACACCTTGCCCAGAACAATAATAATTGTAAAGAAAAATCCTTGCATTTGATACAGCGCCTTTCACATCAGGAGGATGGCTCATAGCAGTTACAAGATTTACTGTGACTATAGTGACTATTTTGTAGATGAACACAGAAGCCAATTTGCACATAGCAATGTCCCACAAACAGCCTAAAGGTAAATGCCCAATGAAATAAACCAATGTCCAATAAATATAATGAAATAAAAATGAAAATGTTTTTGGAAACATACAAAACTGTGCTTGTTTTAAAATGAGTCAAACCCTCCAGGGATGAGCAATTTTAAAATTTCAAACCCAAAACAATCTGAAATGGATATTATTATTGTGATTTTGGTCTAATTACTTTATCTGTAGTTTTGATGTTGTCAATTGGAAAAAGCACTTGTGTGGAAGTTTTGGCCATTTTATTCTGAATAATCTAACGTTAACAGTTCTCAACTTTACAAATGAATGAAACCCAACATGTCTCATGCTCTTAGTCTTTAAACTATTGCCTTAAAATATAAGATTGTGTAGACTCTTAGAAAATCCTTAAATTTCATCTTAATCTGGAAGCTATTTTTCCTATTTGTTTCTCATCAATTTGGAATTGCCAGTTGTGTTTGTTATGCCATGACATGATGTGATTGAATGTACTATTGTTATTGGGTGTGTGCTGCATTGTTGGAGGTGCTGTTCTTCAGATGAGACATTAAACCAAGGTTCCATCTGTCTGTCCCTATAGATGTTAAAGATCTTATGACACTATTCGAAAAGAGAATAGTGTCCTGGTGTCCTGGCCAACAATCCCTCACATAAAATTGGTTACTCACTCCATAGGTGTTTGTGGAACTCTGCTGTTTGCAAATTGGCTGCTGTGTTCGCATACAAAATATACACTGTTAACCATTGTGAAGTGCTATGAGATGTCTTGACAATATGATTAGGCATGATATCAATTGCAAGGAATTTTTTTCAGTATCAACGGTGTTTAAAAATAAATGGTTTTACATTAATTCAGGTATTATGGTCAATTGGTATTAGGCCAGTACGTTGCCAGATATGCAATAGATATGAAATCCTTGGAACTTGTATCGACAAGGAAGCCGGTGAGGTGGAAGGAAAAATCTACCTCTAACACTGGGGCAAACGAGCAGATGGTTGTTGTCATTGGGGATGAGATTATTAGACAGACAGACACAATCATCTGCAACCCTAACCAGAAGACCCGAAGGCTTTGTTGCCTCCCTGGGGCCGGGGTGAAGGATGTCTCAGCAGAGCTAGAGGATAATTTAAAATGCGAGGGTAAGGATCCGTTGGTGGTACGTTACATAGGTACCAATGACATCGGTAGAGTTGGCCAAGATGTCTTGAGAAGGGAATTCTAAGAGCTGGGGTCCAAATTGAAGTCAAGATCATCAAAGGTGGTAATATCGGGACTACTGCCTGTACCATACGACAATTGGTACCGGAACAAACAAATTAAGGACTTGAACGCATGGCTAAAAGAATGGTGCGGAATTCATAGGTTTCTTTCTATGAGCCATTGGCACGAGTACTGGGGGAAAAGAGAGCTCTTTCAGAGAAAAGGGCTGCATTTAAATCGGGCTGGGACAAATATCCTAGCTAAACAAATTAATAGGGAGGTAAATAGGAATTTAAACTAAGGGGGGGGAATATATAGGTAAGAGAAATCATAAGTTAACATTAGAAAAAGTAAAGATGACAGTGCAGAATAGCATGCCAGATAATAGGAATATGTTAACTAGGGGTAAGAAGCTTGGCAAAGCAGATAAGGAATCAGAGAGTAGAGGAAATGGTAGGAAATTAAAAATGTTATATCTGAATGCACGAAGCATTCGGAGTAAAACTGATGAACTAAAGCACAAATAGACACATGGGTACGATCTAGTAGCCATCACTGAAACATGGTTACAAGGAGATCTAGGGTGGGAGTTAAATATTCCAGGGTTCTCAGTTTACAGGAAAGATAGGCACTGTGGGAAATGAGGTGGGGGGTTAGGCCTGTTAATTAGAGATGAAATAAAAGCAGTGGAGAGGAAGGATCTGAATTCTGATGACCAGGCGGTAGAGACAATATGGGTGGAAATAAAAAAAAAGGGGCAGAAACTATTAATGGGAGTGGTTATAGACCCCCAAACAGCGATCACAATATAGCACAAGGTATTAATCAGGAAATCAGTGGAGCATGTAGGAAAGGTAAAGCGATAATAGTGAGTGAATTCAATCTCCACATAGATTGGGAAAACCAAATTGGCAAAAGAAGGTTAGAAGAACAGTTCATTGAGAGTATGAGAGATAACTTTTTAGAGCAGCATGCCGAGGAACCAACTAGCGGTCAGGCCATTCTCGACCTTGTTTTGTGTAACGAAACAGGGCTAGTCGGCAGTGTAGGTATTAAGACTCCTCTAGGACAGAGTGATCACAATATGATTGAATTTTGCATTAAGTTAGAGAGGGATATAGTTAAATCCGAGGCAAGTATTCTGAATTTAAATAAGGCTAATTTTGTAGGTATGAGGAAAGATTTAGGTAAAATAGAATGTAGAATAAGATTAAGAGGTAAAAATGTAGACCAACAGTGGCAAATATTTAAGGATGTAGTCCATAATTCTCAGCAGTCGCATAATCCCTTGCGGAATAAGAGCACCACAGGGAAAGCAATGTGTTAGCGTCCAGAGGGACTTGGGTGTCCTTGTACACCAATCACTGAAAGTTAGTCTGCAGGTGCAGCAGCAATTAGGAA